GGCACAATTCGAGGGGTTTTCCTAACAGAGCTACTGGCTCTGTTAGGAGCCAGTAGGCTCTGTCTACTAGCTCTAACAGAGCACTGGTTAATTTCCTGTCTCTTATACACATCTCTGAGACCACACACCTTCTTCACTGAGGGCAGCCCTGCCTGTTGTTAGCAGTCTCAGCTGCATAGCTGTCACCAGATGCAACCAGGTAGCTGGGACAAGACTCGACACTCAGCCGGATGGCAGGAGGAGCAGTTTGCTGGGTCTACCCCTGGGAGATATAAATTCTACTGAAGATTTTGAGGGTTTTTACATCACCACACTGCCACCACCATTGTCACTGCATAGTCCTCTATGGTCCTTATCAGGTGCCAGGCACAATTCGAGGGATTTTCCATTATGCAGTAGGTTCTATCGTTCCCACCTTACAGATGAAGAAACTGAGGCACAGGAAGGTTGAGTGACTCCCCAGGCCCATGCAGCTAGTAAATGGTAGAGCTCTGGACCCTTCTCTACAGTGCCTCTCTCTCTGTCACTCACTCAGAAAGCAACCTACCCCCGACCACCCTATTGCCTGCAGACCAAGTCCTCTCCAGGTCCCCCCTGGGATGCCTGTCATGGTCAGCCTCCAGTCCCCTTTTCTAGACTCAACCCTCTCTTCTGTCTTTCACAGGCACCTTTGTCCTATGGAAGGGAATCTGGCTCTGCCAAGCTCAGCCAGGCTGCCACTCCCCATACCTGTCCCTTACAGGAACTTCAGAAACAGGAAAATCCTCTTTGTGAGCTAATGCTGTGCCATAGGAAGGGGAAGAGATATATGGGTGCTATAACATAAGGCTTTCTCTCTCACAAACCATTTTTTCCCCTGTTAAGGATGGTCTTCATGTGTCCCCCTGGAAAATCTTCAGGTGCCTTGGAAAACCCAACTGCCATCCTGCCCCTGCCAACTTTCATCAAACAGGCCTGCACTGGGACAACCCCGGGTTTCCAAGCAGATGCTTCCCCTGATGCCGTGTTCAATGCCTGGCAGCTCTAAGATGCTGGGGAGCTGATGGCTTTGCAAAATATAGCAGTGCCTGGATGTCACTAGTTGCTCTCCCATGTGGGCCACTTGGCTGTTCCCATTACCCTGGCTGGGCACCAAAGGATGGAGTCACTCCAAGGCATTACCAAGTCCCCACAGTACAGATGGAGGAAGAGAGGCCCAGGGAGATTTGTGACCATCCAGGGCCACGTTGTGGGCGGGTAATGGCGGTGGGACGTTCAATCTCCTGACTCCCCATCCTGGGGTCTTCCTAACAGAGCACACCATATCTCATGCTGATCCTGCTGAGCTACAGCCCACACTACCACATCTTGAGAGAGGAGGAAGACACCTGGACTCCGCCCATGCACCTGCTGCTTCGTCAGGAGGACACCTGTTTCTTGCAGCAGGGAGAACTATGAAGATTGTCCCTGCCGCCTCAGGTGGGCTGAGCAGCCCGCAAGCAGGCTGTCAGGGGAGGATCACAGCAGCCATCCAAGGTGGGGACATTCTGCCTGAGACCTCCCTGCTGATGTCTGTCACCCATTGCTTCAGCTTCCTGCTAAGGCCACTACCGTTCTCCCCCGGGGTTTGACCCACCTCCTCTGAGCAAGCCGGCCATGCTCCCCCAAAATGGACACACAGGGATGGACCCCCATGAAGAATTCTGGGGTAGCATTCTGGGTCGTGCCTTTTTTTCCGGCCACTTTTTGTATGTTCGTTCATTCAACAAACACTTAACAATGCCTACTGTGTGTGAGTCACTGTGCTGGGCTATGGCTCTCTAAACATGAATAAAATATACTCATTGTCCTCTGAGGAAGGAAAACTTCATTTTTTAAGCACTTATTATCTACCAGGCCTGATGCAAAGCTCTGATGATACAGAGATGAATAACTCATTTCCTCCTGCTGAGAAGTCAACAGTTTCCTATGTTAGAAAGCTGGAGAAATTCCAGAGATGAGAACTAAAACAAACATGAGGGTTTAAGCGAGAAAGGTTTGCTGTAGGAAGATTCACGTTTTCATTCCTTCATTCATTCAATCAACATGTCCTGAGTGCTCATTATGCGGCAGACATAGACACGGTGCTAAGTATGGGAACTATAACCCCGCACTTGGTCTTTACGACAACCTTGTGAGGTTGGCATTGTCACCCCTTCCATAGACTTGGAACCTGAGGCTTAGAGGTTATGCAATCTGCCTAAGGTGGTCACCTTGCTCTTAGATGATGGCATCTGATTCTTAAAGTTTTAAAAATTTAATTATTATTATTTTTTGAGATAGGATCTCACTCCATTGCCCAGGCTGGAGTACAGTGGTGCAGTCACGGCTCACTGCAGCCTCAACCTCCCTGGGCTCAGGCAATCTTCCCACCTCAGCCTCCTGAGTAGCTGAGACCACACACCTTCTTCACTGAGGGCAGCCCTGCCTGTTGTTAGCAGTCTCAGCTGCATAGCTGTCACCAGATGCAGCCAGGTAGCTGGGACAAGACTCGACACTCAGCCGGATGGCAGGAGGAGCAGTTTGCTGGGTTTACCCCTGGGAGATATAAATTCTACTGAAGATTTTGAGGGTTTTTACATCACCACCACTGCCACCACCATTGTCACTGCATAGTCCTCTATGGTCCTTATCAGGTGCCAGGCACAATTCGAGGGGTTTTCCTAACAGAGCTACTGGCTCTGTTAGGAGCCAGTAGGCTCTGTCTACTAGCTCTAACAGAGCACTGGTTAATTTCTGTATTTTTCGTAAGGACGGAGTTTCACTATGTTGCCCAGGCTGGTCTCAAACTCCTGAGCTCAAGCTATCTGTCTGCCTCGGGCTACCAGAGTGCTGGGATTATACGCATGAGCCACCATGCCTGGCCTAATTTTATTGTTTAGCTTTTACTTCCATATAGTAGGGCCTGGATTTGAACCTGGTCTGTCTTGCTGCAAAGCCTGTGTTCTCCTGGTTGGAGGTCATGAAGTTCTCATGGGTGGAAGGGGCAGCTGGGCCCTCAGCCCCTTCTAAAGTGGGCAGGTAAGTCCCCTCCACCTCGACCCTGGACTTGGTCCCATCCAGTCTCTGGATCCAGTCCTGGTCCTGGACAGGCGACATCAAGAGTGGCAGGGTGCCCTCTGAGCCATCTGAGCCATCTTCTGACCCTGCTTGACTGCTGGGCTCCCAGAAGCTGGGGTCCTAGCCCCCACCTATGCCTCCTGGTGCCTGCAGCCGACCACCTGCCACCAGCTCTGCCACATGCCCGACCCACCCATCTCTGCCAGGACACGTGCTCTGCATCATGGGCTCCCCTCAGACCTTGGGTGACTAATGATATTGGTTACACTCTGCCTGCTGGAGCAGGGGTTCTCAGTTCGGGGGG